GGCTACCAATATTTGGACCCCCTCGTGTGCTCATTGCTGACCAGGGACGAGAGTTTATTTCCTGGGCATTTCAACAAATGTGCGATGAACATTCAATTCTGCTGTATCACATTCCGGTCCAGGCCCCATGGGCCAACGGAATTTGTGAGAAAGGAGGTGGAATTTTGAAGGGCTTGTTGGAATGCTGCATCAAAAGCAAATCAGTTGCAGGGCTGGAGGAGATGAACATGGCATTCCAAGAATGTGTGCTGGCATACAATGCTGACATTAATGAAGCAGGTGTGTCACCATGTCAAGCCGCGATTGGGCGACAGCCAAGGATGATTGGAGACGTGCTCGGCAATTTCAGCCAACGATTAGCTGAACATGGGCTGATCGATAGCAATCCGAGTTTTGCAAGGCAAGTTGCACTTCGTGAAGTAGCCCGGCTTGCAATGGTTCGCCTCCATTTTTCCAGAGGCATTCGGCGTGCTGAGCTCAGCAGGTCGAGAAGCAGCACTATGTCCCGACCCTTGGAACCAGGAGACATTGTGTATTTCTGGCGTGAATCCAAGTACAACTCGAGGACAGCTCCTTCCAAGAAGCGCCTCTCGCTTCGCCGCTGGCATGGACCAGCTTTGCTTGTTGCCCTGGAGGGACACACATCAGGATATGTGTCGTTCAAGGGGCAGTTGACAAAGTGCTCAAGAGAACATCTGAGGTTGGCATCCAGCATGGAACAAATCAGTGCAGATGTGTGGCATGATGCCATCAGAGATTGTGTGGAGTCAGCGCTTCACGATGCTCGCAGGGATCCTCAAGCTCCCGCGACACCCTTACCGATAGCTGCACCTCCCACACCTTCCAGACCTTCGAGTGCACCAGCTCTACCACCGGTGCCTGAGGAGTCAGTTGAGGAGTTGCCGCCGGTTGCACCAGTTGACCTGCTGCAAGCGTTGGACAACGGCAATCCCGAGCCGTTGGCGCTTCCAGGAAGTGGCAGTTTGAGCAGGAGGGCATCGACATTGTCTTCTTTTGGAGTTGGCTCTCAACCAGCTTCAGTTCATGCAGCCCCAGGGACGCCAGTGCCTGCATTGATTCGACAGGCAAGCCAAGTGGCCCCACAGACACCACCTGTCAGCTCTCGTATGGAGGCAGCAATTGATGATGCCCGGGAGTTGGAGGAGGAAAGCAGTTCCAGGAAGAGGACGGCGGAGGTGGACGCTGAAGCGCTTCGTGAAGAAGGGAGAATGGAGACCACAGAAGGTCATTCCGTTTTAGTGACCACTGCACTCGTCCAGAATGTGCTGAAGACAAAGAATGCCTTGGTGTCGGAGTTTGCCAAAGCTCCAGAGAATGCCAAGGTCCCTGAGAGCGATGTCGTGTCTCCTCACAAAGACACGCTGGAGGAGGACTTCATGCGTTCAAAGATTCACCCACTCCGTTTCATCCAGGAGTTGGTGGAGAAAGACAAACGAGATCCAAATATGAGTGAAGTTGTTGACCATGGCAGTTGGTCAGGCCGATGGCCCTTGCCTTCACGCAGTAGCTGGCAGGCTCACGAGATCACATGCAGCTTGTGGCCATGCAGCGAGAATGAAGTGAATGCTGCCAAGACCGCTCGCCGTGAGGTGAAGTGGAAACAAATCCCAGAGCATGAGAAGGCAGAGTATAGAAAAGCAGCGGAAGCTGGATGGAAGGTGCAGACAGACAACTTCGCTTTCGAACCACTCAGCGAAGAAGAGTCAAGCAGAGTCCGTTCCAAGTTACGAGACGCTGGAGAACTCAACAAGATCTTGCATCCTCGGTTCATTTACACCGACAAGAATGACGGGAAGCGGTCTGCATCCACTCCGATGCCACTTCTGGCAAATGCTCGGCTTGTGATCCCGGGCTATCAGGACGAAACTGCATACACAGTTCGAAAAGATGCGCCCACCAGTTCGAGGAGCTCTCAACACATTTTGTTCGTTACAGCTGCAAGCAAGGGATGGACATTGTGGTCGGCTGACATCAAGAGCGCCTTTCTCAAAGGCGAGTTGTTTGCTGAAGGAGAGCGGGAACTTTACATCACCAACATCCGTTGCCAATCGGAGGATGAGCCTATGCTACCGTTTGGCAAGACATGTCTGGCAAAAGTTCGCAAAGGCGTATGCGGACTAGCAGATAGTCCAAGACGTTGGTATTTGAGGTTGCACCGGTCGCTGACCAATCTCGGCTGGATGAGGAGTCAGATGGATGCAGCACAGTGGTTCCTCTATGATGCCAACCAGTGCCTTCACGGGATCTTAGTATCCCACGTGGATGATTTGTTGATGGCAGGTTCATCGTGGGCAAAGCAAACTCTTGACCAGTTGGGCAAAGAGCTTGGTTTTGGAAGCCTGGAAACAGGTTGTTTCAACTATTGTGGGAAACAAGTCAAACAATTTGCTGACAAAACAATTGAGGTGAGCATGCAAGCTTATCATGAAAATGTACAGCCAGCAGTGGTGCCGATCCATCGGAAGAAGCAGTTGGACAGCACTCTCACCCCAGGCGAACATCGCCAGTTGCGAGCATTGTTGGGCAGCCTGCAGTGGCTTGTGACTCAAGTCAGGTTTGACATGAGCTACCACCTCTCCGTGCTTCAAGGAGAACCTCCCACAGTTCGGACCTTGCTCAGGGCCAATGCGTTGGTACGGCTCATGAAGAAAGACTCTGGTTTCAAACTGAGATTCCCTAAGCTGGATTTGACAGATGCAGGAATTCTGGTGATAACAGATGCTTCGCTTGGAAACGTTACTCGCAGTGGCGGATCTGAAGGAAGTGTTTTCACAAAAGTTTTCAGTCAAGCAGCTTATTTAGTGTTGGTTGGAGACAAAGAGTTGATGGCCGGCCGCGAAGGTCAGTTTGCAGTAATAGATTGTCGCAGTCACCGCCTCTCTCGCGTGTGTCGAAGCACGTATGGGGCAGAGTAGTTGGGTTCAGAAGAGGCATTTGATGTGTCTCTTTACAGCAGAGGCTTGTTTGCCGAATCCAAAGGATTCGATGTGCTGGACCGCAAGGAGGCATACAATGAACACATTCCAGTTCTGCTTGTTACAGACGCCAAGGACGTGTTCGACAAAACCTCCAGCGATACACCAACATACGGCTCCCAGAAGAGTTTAGCCTTCACCGTTGGCTGGATTCGAGAGGTGCTCCGAAAGGCCAGAACTTCCATTGCATGGACAGCAACGGAAAACATGGTCATAGACTGCGGCACAAAGGAGATGTCCACAGATCATCTCCGGGCTGTTCTGGAAAAAGGGCATTGGAGCGTTACTTACAATCCCAGCTTCGTCAAACAGACGGCGAAATCCAAGCGAGCTCCAAGACAGTTGGTTTGCAGCTCCTCCCTTCCAGGTAGAGTTTTGAGCGGAAGCGATCCAGTTGTCAGCCATTTAATGAAGCTGGCAGAGCAACCCGGATGGCACTTGAAAGGGTCCACAGGGATCCATGTGTGCAGAGCAGCGAAGTCGCTTCGCCTCGGTGCTCCTAGGTTCAGCCCCACGGAATACCCACTTAGATCCACCTACGGGCGTTTCGACACGGAAGAACAAGGGGAATGGAGAATCTTAGAGGACCGGGGAGAGCATCGCACGCCGCGTTTGATCGGCGACACGGCGGCAGTGTTGGTCACGTTTTTCCACAGCCTAGAATCTCCGCCTCTGAATCAACAAAAAGATAGGTCCACTGTGAAAGATTCCTTGATTCAGGGCTGAAGGATTGATGTGTTCCACCGCGGCCGTTTCCGTTCACTTTCAGGCCTTAGCCATACTTTCGTGCTACGCATAGCTGGCAAAAGGGCGCCCTGTCTCGCTTTGACAATAATCATACCCTGAGGATCGAAAGTTAGCTCTATATGCTAACATTTGGGGTTGTGTCTTCTGGGGCTCTCCGACCTCACCCTGTGAGGTCCGACCTCAAAAAACGAGATCATACCAGAACCCCAAAACCACAAAACCACAGAACCCAAAAACCACAAAACCAACGATCCCAAATTCGATTTCGTCACGGGTTGTCACGCTGGAGTCCGACAATGACATCATTTCTAAAGGGACAAAATAGACCAATCACGGTCTGTCACGGTTCGTCACGCCCTGGTATGCTTGGTTCTTGGGATTTCATGGTCTTATCCTCCGACAATGATACTGGAATTGTATATACGTTTCAGGTACCCCAATCTGTGATTCGACAACGTCTTCAAATAACACGATCAATAGAAATGTATGCATATCCTGAGATCATTTCTATTTGTGACCTATGTGTGGTCATGGATCGTCAGGGATATAATCATATAATCATATACCATTATCATCAGCAGCAGCAGCAGCAGCAGTCTTGGGCAGTTACAGACTTGAACAACAGTTGCCAAGGGGTTGGCGCCCAGCTGCAGTCATTTCCCATCCAAAGCATCATGAGCTACAACAAAACCTGGCTGAGTGGGGGTTACAAGCCTCCAGTTTCAGGGATCGTAAGGAAATGTTCTATGATTTTCTACACCTCTCCAGCGCATCCAGCGATCATAAGGATCCGGGCAACGCTCCAAAGTCGACCCCAACAGCGCTCCATCGAATCGGAGGGCTTCGCCCGCCCAAAGCCCGAAATCGGAGGCAAGCCTAAGTGAGCAACATTCCAACCACGGGAAATAGAGCAGAAGGTATGAGCTGCCTTCAATCCTGGAGAATTTGCAACAACCCAATGAAAGCGATGGCCCTTCCAAAAATCCATGCCCTACCAGAACATATTACCAGCACGTGAAGGATGAACATGTTGCAAGTGCATTTGTGTGTATATTAAAAAGCAAACTATTAATTTGTTTAACATGTGCTTTTCTTACATAGGAGCTGCTTGATTTGAAAGGTAGTTCCACGTAAGAACCTCCTGAAGCGACACCCTTAGCCGCCTTAGCGATACCCTCGATCATGCCAGTCCACCACTTTTTCACTTAAACATAATAAGGTTTGTTGGCTACCAACAAAGATGTTGCGGATTGTTGCAGTAACAGTTTGGTGAATACTTTTAGCTGCTTGCAAAGCTCTTCTAGGTTCTTCTTGTGTCAGCTGAGCTTTGCTGTTACTTACCTCCGAGTGAGTAGAGTGAAGTTTGTTTGTTTGTCTAACTTGTTTGGTTGTCTCCTTTGAGTACTTGTGCTCAAACATACACTTGCTTGGTTGAAGCTTGCCTTTGACTCACGGACTGCGATGCCTCCCTTCCAAGCTCGATGGGGCCCCCCCGAACCTACGTGATGGCATGTTTGACAGAACAAGGCGGTGAAGAACAGCCGCACTGCGGTGGATAACTGCCAGTTGTTTGGGAGAATCTCAAGAGTCATGCCCAAAGAGTAGAGGTTGATGACCTGGATTTTCCCAGTGACCGAACTTGATCCCCTGGTTGGTTCGGTCACAAAAAGGCTTGTAGGTTCGGTCACTGGGAAGGTCCTGGGACAGATCTTGTTCTTGAAATTTTCGGGGTCGGCCCTTCGTTGTCACGCACCGCTTCGACCCCCCCACCGATCGTCCGGACGAGCGCGCGTCGGGGCTCCTCGAGCGACGGACCAGTCCGCGGTCCGCTCCGCAGGTGGTGCTGCCGAGCGGCCGTTCTTGTGAAGTGAAGTTGTCGAAGCAGTGTACCGTGCTGGAGCTGAAGGTGTGCCGAGCGGCGTGGATGAGGGCGCGTAGTGAATCAGGGCACGGCTGAGGTGGAGAAACGGCAGGCTTTTTCAACGGCTACTCTTGAAGTCCCAAATGCATTTACATAGACATGTGACATGGGTGTATGTATTAGGACCATCCTGGTTGGCTGGCCAGGACAGTCCTGATATGTCATTAGTGGATCTCCCAAGCCAGCGACGGTCTCGGATTGTTTGCTCAACGATCAGGTGGCGGCTCAACGGCTCTTGAACCAGAACTTGCTCAAGCTGCTTTATGCTGGCACTCTCCTCGATGCTTCAGCCCAGCTTTCCTCACTGGGCTCGCTGCATGGGGAGACTCTGCCGCTGGGCGAGTGGCGCGGACCGTGCCAGACGAGAGGTGGGAGGTACAGGAGGTACATATGGATTAAGTGCTATGAAGAACATTGAAGAACCAGGTGATTCACCCATCCATTTCTGGGTTTGCGAGCCAAACGGCAGAGGAACGCCCTTGTTGATGAGAGGCACCTCATCTTGGGCAAGGCTTTTCCGTGTAGCTCAAGCTTCAGCGCCCAAGAACGGAAACACACCAGCAAATTTGTCGTTTGCTGTTGTCCAACAAGCTCCACCACCAGGTATGTAGATTCTTTATGATAGAGTGGATCACAGGCATTGGGAGCCTGACCACGCCAAAGTGTTTGTATTTTGCTAGATGAACCTACCATGGCAGAATCCCCCGATGCGAAGCAGAACTCATGCTTTTCAGGGTTGAAAAGTGTTTACCCTCTTGTCAAGGCTCCAGTCCAATTCCAAGAATGATCAAGCCCCTCCATGAATCATGAAAGCATGGGATTTGGGAACGGGAAACCACGGTCTATTTGGAGATGGTGAAATGCAATCCCACGACAAGTGGTGCATGGAAAGCCTGTTTTAGGGATGGATCAGTAGTTTAGCCATGCACTTGAAGCAACATGGTCCAAATCGTTCACCTCAAACATTGTAATAGTGTGCGTTTGAGTCATCTTGAGAATTCCTCATCCCCACCCCAACAAACGGTATATTTTGCACCACCACCCATGAATCTTTCAGTGAAAAAGACCAGCGATTCAGACCAGCCTCGGGCGAAGGGACCTGTGGCAAGTGGTGCAACCGACCTCAGGAACGCTGTGGTGCAAGTGGTGCAAATCACCGCGACGCGCGAGGCCTTTGCACTGTGGTGCCACGAGGGCGGCCTCATCACCTGGGGTCATCCGGGTTGAGCCTTGGAGCTCGGAGAAGACAGACTGACCTGGGTTGAGAGTGTCGACTCACTGGCTGAAAGGGTGCCTAAGTACCTACCAGCGGCCTCCAGTTGTCCCATTGAAGAAAATTAAGGTTTTTCACAGCCAAAAAAACATGTGTTTTGCTTGGACATCCAGGTGTTTGATGGTTTGTGAGAAAATGCCTACATATAGGATGGGCACTTGTACCATCATGGCTCAGGGTACCTGATGGTACCTGGAACATCCAGCAATAACATGCAATAACCATGTCTTGATGTCACATCTTTTTCAGTGGCTTTCTCTATCAAGATCTATTGGGTTTAGGATATTTTAGGATGAGTGTTTTTCACGCTTTCAACCAAGCTCCCACATGCTTGTCAGATCCTCACGCCATTCTAGCGCCACCTCAGGCGGTGGCCTGCTCCCCCTAGAGCTTCGCCCTTTGCAGCGTGTGCGGCGCGTGGTGGCCTCGTTCCACACCTTTGCGGCCATCGTTGGGGAGGGAGAGGTCGTGACCTGGGGTCGCTTGGAACGCGGACCTCGCCGCTGGATCGGATTTGAAGAATGAAGAACTCCTGAAGGACCTGAAGAAGTGCAGAACATGTTTTCAAAAAAAGAGGGGAGGATGTTTTTGTTGACCTGGAGAACTAGGTAAACGGATCGGCTGTGTTTTGGATGGGAGATGCCTGTTGTTTGACCTTGGGGTAGTCAGTGAGGAAGGAGTTGTTGTGTTTCTTGCGACGTTTGGTGCCAAGGGTCTACAGATCAAATCTCTGACTTGCGAAAAGGCAATATTACTGATGTGAGGGGTGGTTTGTGGGGGTTGGATGCTATTGGGCCTTCGTATTTGTAGAAGGTTGCAGGTAAGCTCCTTTGCCTCATTGAGTAATTGAGCAGTGTTTTGCATGATCAACTTCAGTCAATCGAATTCTTTTACATGTAGGAAGGGCTTCAAGAAACCACAAGAAAAGGCCTCTCGTCAGAAGCTGATTTTGGCGTTCGCATGTTGATCGATTTCACGTCGAGCCATGTGGAGCCCGACTGGCTGCATCGGACATCAATGATTTTTATATGGTGCCGCTGCGATGTCGCAGGGCATCAAACAGCACATGGCTCATCTTTAAAGGGCTCTTTAAGCAGTCAGCCAGTGTCGACAATTCGGTTTCCACGGATCAACAAGCAGTCGGATCTCCCGAAAGTACCTTCAACGCCCCTGCAAAAAGAGCCAAAACCAGCCATGTTTGAAGGTGGGACACGGATCCGGACCCTCCAAACCTGCAAGGTGAAGCCACCTCAAATCCTCCAAAGCACCATGGAAGCCAGGAATGGACCTGAATTCAATTCAAAGCTCGTCCGATTTTGAACGTTACGTTTCATCATTCTGGGTTGTAACGTGGTTGTAACATCAAAACCGAGCTCCACTGTGAGACATGCTGACGAGGAAGTTCAGGCGTTTTCAGCTGCTCAGTGCTGTCCGCGACCCAGGCTATGGCCGCTGCGCCCCGCCAGAGCCCATCCTTGACTGTGTCGAGGTATGTGCTTCGGGCGCTGCTTTCGCTGCGCAGCGGCGTACGGGCGAGGCGAGGACGATCTGTGGCAGAACTGGTGAGTGTGGAGAGAGAGAGAGAGAGAGTGACTTGCCATCCATGGATTTGTTTGATAAACTGATGGCGGCAACTGCCGTTTTTCAGACGGTGTCACTATGATTCTTTCCAGTGACTAGCCCTTATATTCGGATACCCGTTTGCTGCGCCCAGTTCAACGAACTTGACCACTCGGTAGAGCCGTGAAGATTGTTGGCCATACAAGGTTTGACCGTTGTTTGAATTAGGGGTTGTCCCATTACCTATAAGAGCCAGTAAACAATTATCACATATATTATCACAATGTTTGAACAAGGCCTGTACTAACCGTCATCATTTGTTACTGGTAATAGGATAGCCCCAAGTTTGAAGGATTATTTTTGGTTTGTCAATTCCCAGGGACTCCATGTATACCATATATGCCTAGAATTAGCGTGGTTTGAGGCGTCAATGTAGGCATATATGACATACATGGAGTGTTTGGGATTGATATTTTTGGTTTTTGGCCAGATGCTTATCAAGGTCAGCCCAGTCAATGCCAAGACCCTGAGAGTCCGCTCGACTAGCCTCATCGATACTCGCCCACTGCGAGTCGAGCTCGACACGACACGAGCTCCACCCTGTGACCAGGTGGTGACCTGGGGTGAAGCTGACTTTGGAGGCGACAGTTCTCAGGCGACCTCGATGGGTCTGGCACTTTTGAAGGTCAAACTTGTCTTCCTGCCATGGAAGACAAAGATATACTAATACCCACTCGTCAGAGTGAAGGGCGATTTTAGGTGCTGACACCCAACAAATAACAAAGGGCCAGCGAAGGGAGGGAAATAATGAGGAGATGCAGAGTGCGAGGCGTTGCCGGGGGGGGGGGCAGTGGTCGTCAGTGTTGTTGTTGTGGTAGCAGGGTAGCAAGCAGCAGGAGTAGAAAAGGAGTAGTAGTAGTAGTAGTAGTAGTAGTAGTAGTAGTAGTAGTAGTTGTTGTTGTTGTTAGAGACAAAAACAGCTGCCCAACATAGTTGTCACATGTTGCAAGTCAGGAATTTCAAAGGGACACTGTTAGGGATAGGGTCGAAGGTTTGGAGAGATGTTAGTAGCTGGACTTCTTGTCGTTGTGGTACTCAAGTCTTGGTTGGTTTGTTTCTTGTTTGTTGATGTTTTTTGAGGTGTTGTTTTGAGGGGCTGCAGATGTTGTTTCTAGGGGGTGAAGACAACAACATGTTTTGAGGGGGGATCGAAAAAAACAACAACGGTGCTGCAGTTTTTGTCTCTAAGATGTGGTAGAGGTTCTAAGTAGAAGTTTTACAGAGGCTTAGCTGACCGGCTGCTACTACTGGTATTACTAGGCTACTACTACTTCTACTACTGCTTCTACTACTACTACTACTATTATCACTACCACTGCTACTACTTCTACTACTACTACTACTACAACTACAACAACAACAACTACTACTACTACTACTACAACTACCACGACTACCACCACCACCACCACTACTACTACTACGACCACCACCACTACTACTACTACTACCACTAGTACTAGCACTAGTACCAGCACTGCCACTACTGGCAAAAGTACATGTTGGCTGGTTGTTTTCGGGTGGGGTCAGAAAACAACGACGGGGCTGCAGTTTTTGTTTGTACCTTGTTGTTGTTGATGATGTTATTGTTGTAGTAGCAATAGCAGCAGCAGCAGCAGCAGGTGGTTGTCGGAAGCAGACGCCCAAGGCGGCACTTTTGGCACTGTGTTGCTAAGTTTCCTCTTCCATTCATTCTTTATTGTGCGGAAAAAAACGTTGTAAAGCACAGGATATCGCGTGGTCGCTGCTCCCAACTTGCTCCACATGAGCCTGGAGCTATCAAGCGGCTCGGTACCAAAGCGCCCTGCTGAGCCAATGGAAGACATTGTGATGAGAGGCGAGCATCCCGCAGCTCACCAGGAAGACCGGTGCAGTAGCGACCGGGCGGCGTCAGCATCCACCCTCAGGTCACTGTCGGTCACCGTCATCACGGCGGCGCCGGGCGGTGAAGAAGGGGTCCAAGGACGGAGGTTGAGCAAGCAGCTTTGAGGGCAGGTGTCCATGTGAAGGAATCCGATAATCAACCAGTCGTTTTTGAAGCTCCAAAGGAGGTGGAATGTTGGAATTCCAGTGATGACGCTGGCGATGCAGAGGTTTGTTTGCCTTATTTGTTTGCTTGTTTCATATTCTGTTCATGTGTCCTTTTACTTGATTGTCTTAATTGGCCCTATGTCCTTTTACTATGTTCCTTGCAATTTGTTTGCAGCGGCTGCCTTCTCTCCCTTCTTGTCTCCGTACTTGTCTCACTCGCCTGCCTGTGTGATCAGCGTTTTGTTTGCCCATGATGGCATATCATATCTTCTAACTTCTTTCCATTTGTCCTTTTTCTTGTCTTAGTTGTCTGGCTGTTTGCCTATGTTCGCCTATGTTCCCCACGTTTCGTCTGCCGCGTCTGCCTTGTCTCGTGCCTGTGTGATCAGCGTTTTTCCGGTGCTGGTTATCTTCATACTTCTGTCCACTTGTCCTTCTACTTACTTGCCTATGTTCCCCGCGTTTTGTCTGCCGTGGCTCCGTGATCAGTGTTTTGTTTGCCGTTGCTGTTTTCAGCAGGAGCCTGGCCAATGACTTACTTTGCTGCTTGGACTTGTGGTGCCTCGAAATCCTCTTTGTTTTGGCATTGACCTGCCATAGCGGTAGGCGCTTTGTGGCCCGCAGCTGCGAAGAAGTAGCATGGCCGCTTTTGGGCCTTTTGCCGTATTGATTTGACATGACTTGAAACCAGGAATCAGCATCACATGTGCCGTTTGGGGCCCACGCACATGTTATGCACTTATAGCCTTGTTCAGCCCAGTTTGGCTCTATACTAGCTGCATGTGCAGGAAGTATACAACTCATTGCACAGCGGCCAAGGACAAACGTCATAGGCAAGCACAAATCAAAAAGATACATTGTGTTTGTTTTGCCGCCGCTGCCGCTGGCTTGTTTCCCCCATTGCCATTGGTCTCTGTAGTCGTCTCCCTGTGTGTTTGCCTGTGTGATCGGCGTTTCGTTTGCCGGTGCTGCCTTATCTTCGTCCTTCTTTCCATTTGCCCTTCTACTTGTCTTAGTTGTCTGTTGTTTGCCTATGTTCCCCGCGTTTTGTCTGCCGTGGCTGCCTTGTCTCCTTTTCTTGTCTTTGTACCTGTCTCACTTGCCTGCCTGTGTGATCCGCGTTTGTTTGCCGTTGCTGTCTCGTTTCCCTTCTTGTCCGGTTTTTGTTTGCCGACGCTTCCTTGTCTTTCCATTGGTCTCCATAATTTTCTCCCCGCTTGTCTGCCTGTGGGATCTACGTTTCCTTTGGCGATGATCCCTTATCTTCTAACTTCTTCCCATCTGTCCTTTTTGCTTGTCTTAGTTGTCTGCTGCTTGCCTGTCTATTCGCCTGTGTCCCCGCGTTTCGTCTGCCGCGGCTGCCTTGTCTCTGTACTTGTCCCACTTGTCTGCCAAGGGCTTCTGCCCGATAAAATTCACGAACCCCTGGGCTTTCTGGACCCTGAAGACCGAGGCCAATAGTTTCTTGGCCTTTGGATGTCCAGTGTAGTAACCAATACGTACCTACTGTCAGTAATATATAGGTGTGGGTATAGGTTCATACATGTCGTGGTTCATCGCTTACCCCAAGGTTGGCTAGGTTATGCTAGGCCTTTGAGGGCGATCAACCGCCGACGATTCCATGGCAACCATGAAGTGCCAACCACGTGTTGACTACCAATTGACCTTCACGAATGGAGCCAAACGTAGTCTACCAAAGGTCCGCCAGGTCCGCCTTCAAAATCTCAAATTTGATCTTGTTTGCCCTCCAAAGCATCGCAGCTAGAGGGGCCACCAGCCCCCAGGCGGCGTCTTGTGGCTACAAGCACCAGCATCCGAGGGCCCCCGGCATTGCAATAGCTTCAAGTGGTGCTGCTGGTAAACATTTTTGAACCGCTCGGCGTGCCCCAAGAGAAGTTTTTTGGCCCCATGCCCATACGGGTTCGAAATTACAGACTTTGATTGCATCCCCCCCGGACGAACTTGGGGGTCGGCGGTCGCAAGCCAAGCCCTGTCCCGGCTGCGCTCACGCACACGTTCGTCATCGGGGTCGGCGGATGGACCGGTGAAAGAACGGGGCCCGCACTCAAACGCAGTGCCTGCAGGGCGGCGCCTTTCGCCCTGTTGGGTCCCGCATCGCCAGGTGGAAACGGAGCTGCGCGAGGTCGTCCGCCTCCAAGCCTCCGAGGGCGCCTTCGCCGCCGTGTGCGGCGCCGAGCGGCGCGTGGTGGCCTGGGGGCATCCAGACTTTGGAGGTGCAAAGGGGGCGGAACTTGGTTTTGTTCGGAGAGTTTGTTGTTCAGCCCGAACTTGATCATATGCCCCTTCTGAGGGGATATGCTTCTGAAGCGCACCCGGCTGAAGCAAATCCTGAAGATGTGGGACTTGGTGGCCGTGGTTCCTTTCTCGAAATCTAGATGACAGAGAGCCTATAGAAGTCTTGAATGTGGAGAGTTTTCTGTGCAATTCCGGATCCCAAATCTTCACGCCCCGGAGGTGTGACACCACTGGAGGCGATGCAGCCAGTGAAAGAGGTGGGGAATCCAAATGCCTCCATGTAAGGCAATACCGACCAATGGATTTGACCTTAATGTATATGACTAACTGCCAAAACCTTCGATGAAGGCAACATCACTACGGCGAAGACAAAGTAAGTCAAAAGATGTTAAATGAGGGAATCCTTCAGGAACGAGAAGGTTCACAAGAAAAACCAATTAGATGTTGTTAGGTGTGTCCAAACCCTCAGGAACGATAAGGTGCACACAAAAAGCGATAACGTTGGGAAGAGCACGCGCTCCAACACGCAAAAGGTTTTGCACCTCGCTCATGTAATTAATTACAATATAACAATATGCGCAATAGATATGCGTGCATGAAGGGTTTGTGGAATGAGATGGACGAATAGAGGATTGTTCACTCTTGGAAGCATGCACTTGGTATGTGGGTGGTGAGCCATTGGGCATGCGGCGTCGCAGTTTTCATGTTTTGAAGCTACTGGTCGTGGCCATTTGCTTGGGCGGTTGGACTCGGCTGAATGGACTTGTTTGGGCGGAAGAGATGGGCGGAAGCGGAAGACCATGTTTGGTCGGAAGATGGTACCAAAGGGTCCAGTTGATCTGTGGCGATTCAGGGAGAACCTTTGACAAATATAGGGCACATGTTCTGTGCTTCAGACGTTCAATAGATCAAATCCTTGTTGGATTTGTCCTGGGGCAAGTTGCTAAAGGAGTCATAGTACGCCAAAAGGTTTGCTTTGTCTCTAGATTGTACGGGGTCCCAAAATGGCTGGGCCCGGGGTCATTTGGTTTCGCTTGTTTCTTGTGGGGGCAGGAAATTACGGATTGGCAACTGTACGGGGTCTCTGCTCTTCAGAGGCAGTGTTCCATGGTTTTCCTCTCTTGGTCAGATTCTTTTTTGCTTTGGTGTTGTTTTTGGTTCATTTAGTCGCGCACTCATCCATCTAAGCCAAAGAACGCACGTGCCGGGTCTCAGAAAGTGTGAAGACGAGCAGGCCAGCACCACCCACACACTTGAGTGGACCCCGCAGCTCTATTCAGCGCACAGCTCTGAATAAAATCACGTGCTAGGTCTCACATGCTTACGCGTACCCTACTAAAAATCCCGTGATTTCTTTCCTGTACCAGATGCCCAGGTCAGCCCTCAGTACTCACGGGTATCTGAGCTCATGCGTTCATCTCACCTGCCAGGTGACTTGCCTTTGTGCCTCGGAGGCGGCCTTCGCTGCGGTGTGCGGCCGCGGTCGGGTCGTCACCTGGGGGCATCCGCACTTCGGGGGAGACGCGAAGTTGCACCACTGGGACTGGCGTTGGCAACATGCCCTTTTATATAGCTTTATTGGGTCATCAACGAAAGCAAATGAAAGTAGATGTACAGTATTTGCATACATGTTACATCGATGAACCCAACAAATCGGGGCACCAGTCACGTGAAGAAGCGCGCCGCGTGACCCAGGACAGCGGTGCTGTAGCCGCTCAACTCACCTCGGTGCGTCACGTCGTCGCCACCTGCGCTGCGTTCTGCGCTCTCCGGCACGATGGCTCCTTAGCGACTCGGCGAGGACGCGCCACGCAACGTGAGAACGAAGTCGTTTTTCAGTGCATGGTGATGGTATCCTAGGTGGCTGTAGCGCACATGTTGGGTCAGTTTGGTATATTCTGGTCTTCAGCGGACAGTTGTATGTGTTTTGTTCATTGTTTCTTTTTCATTTTTTTCAGTGTTCAATAGATTTTGGATGCCGCTCTTTGTGGGTAGTCACGTATGAAGAAGCCGACCTCATAAAGAAAGGATGAGTTCTCCCAGTTGGCGTCCAAGACCTTTGGTCACGCGGTCGACCGTGTCCGTGTCGGTGCCGCCCTCGTTGATGGCGGACGTGTTACTTGCACTATCCGATCTCCCGAAAAACAACTTTTAACAGAAACGCACGATGGATCTAGATTCTACATGTCAGGTGCATATGATTTTTCCCCAACTCCCTCCAACCATGTTCCCAGGTCGCTTGGGGCGTCTCCACCTGCGGTGGCACCCTGCCGTCCCCCGCGCCCACCGGCGTCGCCTCCCTCGCCGCCTCCAACGCCGCCTTCGCCGCGGTGACGGAACGGGGAGTGGTGACCTGGGGCATCAGCGGAGGTGGCGGCGATAGCAGCCACTGGGGCAGAAGAGAAGGGGTGACATCCGGTCGACCGGGGCAGGAAGGACGGTGCATGATTCGAAGTGATTTGAGTGGCACCACCAGGCATATTAAGTTAAGTTAGTGCAGGTTCGGAAGAACTTCTAAGGGGACATTGTTAGACACCTCACGACACCTCTGGGCCCTAGTAGGTAGGCACCTGGCGCTTTGTAGGGAGAAGGAGCACCCTTGCCGTGGTATGAGGGAGTCGACTTCCAAGGCGTTCGACCTCAAGCGGCGATCGACCTCAAACACTCTCAGGTCCCAAGATCCACATGGCCTGAGGTTCAAGACAAGCTCACCCCGGCCAGCTTGAGAGCTGGAGAGGTTTACCAAGGCACCCAATGATTTACCAGAGGTGCAGCCGGCCGATGGACCGTTGTTCAACCAATGCTTTTTCAAACCAAGCACATGTCCCATGGAGTACCGTCATTCTATTTATGAGTGTCCCATCAGTAGACCCATGGCTTAATTATAAGACCTCCGTTGGAGGATGATCCCATGGAGTATCTGGGATTGATCATTCCCCCCTTCCGCCCAGGCCGTGTGCAGCCGGAGCTCTACGACGTCCTCCACGTGGTTGCTTCAGCGCGCGCCTTCTGCGCTCTGCGGAGGGATGGGGCGGAGACTTGGTCAGTTTGTGGTTCCAGCAGGAGCGGGGGACTGACCACGAGATCCTGGGCAACGTGTTCACAACATGTTTTGCGCTCTGGAAACACATGGAGCGACGAATAGGACAAGTGTGGACAAGTCAAACGGCTGAGGATACTGTACCATCCAGCCACCGGATGGCATGGGCCAGCAAGCTTGGTCCTTCGAACTTCGGGTGATTTGGTAGCTCCATCTTCCTGCGCGCGGTCGCACTAGGTCGCAGATGGTCAGGGACACGTCCCTGTTGGGGGTCCGATCATCCATGGAACGATCGGCTCACTGTGGGTTCACCAAGAGTTCATGGGCTGGGGCCCACTTCACATATGCGGGGTCCGTTCCTGAAAGAGCAATTGGAGCTCGGGATTGCGTCTTCTCATGGTTTTCACCTCTTTTTCCACTTGAGCCCTTGGATTGCCCCCCCCAAAACGTGCCGAGATCATCACCTGGGGCGATCCCAATTATGGCGCTGCGGGCCCTTCTTCCGCGGCGGCCGTCGACCGCGGGCACGGGCGATGGACCCTAGCGGCCAGCGAGCGGGCCTTTGCCGCGTTGAGTGCGGAAGGGCAGCTGATCACCTGGGGCGATCCGGATGCTGGGCGAAGGTTAGGAAGGTTCAGTACGTGGAAGAGATTATCAGCTGGAATGGGGAGAGGAAATGGGGAATCACAGCAGCTGAACCGCCCGATCGACCTCGACCTCGACATCGACGCGGACAGGCCCACAGGGGTCCAGTTCTTGAGAATACAGCTCAATGGAGTCCAGTTCTTGGTTGGAAACCCCGGTTGCAGCTCAAAGAGCGATCCGGCCGGTCTTGGCCAAAACTCATGGCCCCCAATTTAATGGATTCTGATGGTACGTTGCAGATTGTGGACATTGCTCGCTTTGACACCTAAGGACTTTGGTGGTGATTGCAGTGGAGTGCAAGAAGAGCTGCTGAAACTCTAGATGCGACACACGCCTTCGTCCACCGTGCAAGAAGGACGTCCAAATCAGAAGCGCCACCGGTCAAGCCCGACCCCGAATGACCAGCGGCCGTAGACTGTGCCGCCACCTGGGCGAGCATGTGATCGACGACCCCGGCGGGTTCAACGAAGAATGGACCCTGAAAAGCCCGAATCTTCGCCTGGAACATGTAGACTCGCTGTCGTCGCCGGTTCCGGCCGAAGACATCGACCTGAATGGCTTCGGTGGACTTTGCATACCAGGGGCCATATATGTTGAACAACCACAAGAACCGCTTCCAGCTGCACATAGCTGAATCAAAAAGGATTGGCAAGGCTTCGAGTGTGCAGGGTGAAACACAGTGGTGGACAACGTGGTGTGAATTGCGGATGGAGATTCTGCTAGTTGTTAGTTCAGATGTCACTGATGGCTGTGTGTTGCATGGTGTTCTTTGTAGTGTCTTTCGCCTCTTCCGCCTCCTCATCCGGCAACGGAAATCACCTGGGACCATGGGATTTCCCAGATCAGTTGCCCAAACCTGGTGAACTTCGGCGGTTTGGTCGTACCCAGCTCAGGGCTTGGCGTTGTTGTCGTGGACCGGTCTTCGAATCACTAGTTCGGAGTGGATCCGGAGACGAGTTCGTCGGACAAGGACGAAACATGGAAGGCCCAACCCCCCCCAGGACTGACTCTTTGGACAAACTGTTGCTTTTTGGGGAACCTCTTTTTCAAAGGGCGAGTCAGTCTGAAGAAGTAAGCGACACTGTATTATAAGTATATTGCAGGAGTCAGGCGTAATTAGCAACATGTGACTTTTGCAACCTACTGTTATCTACTGTTGATGCGAAACACCGCCAGCAATGCCTTGAATGGAGAACACCGTAAGAACATATACTATGGTGGGATTTGATCCATCTCAGCTCGTACCGGTGCATTTCATCCCGCGCCGCTAATGTTACAAAAGAGTTTGTCAAGAGCAAATACCTGGTGGCCTAAGATGCTCTGAGAATCTAGTCGGGGCGGATTAATACCTGTCCAAGCCTGTGTTGCTCATGGTGATTTGGGAACCGTTGAGTTTGCCATGTTTCACATGGCACGTGCGAGAAGTATCACCCCTTAGAGTCAAAGGTTGAGTTTCTGGACATCGCTTTTCCCTTGCATGCAGTATTATATATATATATATGAATACCTTTGAATACCCAGTCGTGGAACTCATGCTAAAAACGAGGTGTTTGGAAGCTTTTCACACTCCCTTTCTTCCAGGGAATCCTCCCTGCCGCCGCAGGCGGATTATGTGCAGCGCTTGGAGGGGCTCTTCCGCAGCTTGGCCAAAAGTGATCTTGAAACAAACCTGAGATGTCAACAGGAGAGGACTGGAATCACTGAATGATTGCTTCAAGAACTGGACATCTCAGACAGATCTTGAAGCAATCTTGATTGCAGACTGGAACCTCGAACTCCCAGGCACGGCCACAGGCTCTGTCGGGAACTAGAGTACTAAAGCGATCCGATGGTAGTGATATGTAGTGATGCACTACTGAGGAAGTTGGTTCACTTAGCTTTTATGTTATCCACTTAACATAACTCCGATGTTTTCTTTTTTGTCTCGCTGTGTTTTTGCATTTTTGTTATCTTCAAGACTCACAGAGTTCGCCAACTGGGTCCGGCGAACACACACTGAGATGTTCTCTTGCGCAGGGCCGCGGTGATGCGACTCTACCTGTGAGACCTGTGATGCGTTGATCTCGCCTCCCAGGCACCATCGATGCATCGGGGCAAGGCATGATCAAGGAAGAGAGGCTACAAGAGTTCCTTGGTGCAACAAAAAATGCAGGTGATGTCAAGGGTGTCGCTGTTAGGTTGGCAAGTGCATTACTACTAGTATCTACTAGTAGCAAGAAGCTACCAGTAACAAGTGCATCGCTACTATGTCAAGAGTGTCAAGGGTGTGTGTGGCGGGTTGGGGCTATGTGGGTGGTGCCTTACAGCGACCGACACATGCCGGGAAGGTGTAGTGTAGCCATTACTATTACACCGGAAAAGATCAATTCATTACACCAGGCTGGAAGGAAATCATGGAACTTGTGGTAACAGAACTTCATCCAGGTCCAGACTTCGATATTTTAACATTGGACTTGCTGTTTAGATCTGGAGGGTATCGAAAAGATTCGAAAAGGCTAGTGACGGTCGTATCCTGCAGCATCTCTTCCATCCTTCGCATCCACTCCCAGTGAGTTCGCTGGAGTTGATCCCACGTCGGTAAGCGTCAGACAGACCCAAGATAGACAACCCAAGATAGACAACCCCAAGATAGACAACCCAAGCTTCTGCGTAGGCTATCCTGATCTGTCGCATGTTTTTGGTTTGTTGATGTTTGTCGTCTTGTTTTGGGTGACTTTGAATGTTCATAGACATTAAAGCGAAAGGAGTCCTTCCATCTTTCGGTGAAGGATGGCCCGCAAGGCTGTGATTCTTTCGTTTTCCCGAACTGGTTAAATCATCTGGGGAATATGAATATGTGTTATGTTTGTCCAGGTTCCTTAAGCAAATCCAAGGTAACACTTGATGTTGGCGTAGGCCCCTGACACACTGTGCTTGGACGGTCTGACAGTACTGTGAACAACAACGTAGGGGATGGGTCCACAAGAACGGGGACCTGAACCTGGCGCGATGAAAACCAACCTCACCATCCAACTCATCATCCGTGTGGCGTGGGCCATCCGCGTGCCAGGATTCTGGCCAACCCGAAGGTCAAGGCGCTGTTGGGCCGTGGTCGCCGGTCACCTGGGGTCCTGACCGCAATGGGTGGAGACCGGTGGTGAAGCTGGATGACATCAAGCGATTATGGCTTTTAAATGCTTTGAATATCATGTACAACCCTTTTCATACGGAGGCTTGTAATATATATAGAGTTACAGAATCAAGAGTCTACATTTGAGGGACGTTCTGGACATGAGAAAGACGGGGGTTGCCAAACCAACGGCGCACCATGGTGCCGCACCCGGGAGTTGGACTCATCCGAGGGGCGTCCACCCACGGCGGAGGCTTATTTCCAGACCCTCGAGATCGATGTGCATGAAGGGCATGCTCCTGGCCTGCAGAAAGGGCCAGGCCTTGAGGCTGCTATAGAGCCAATTACCATCCCCCATGATATTCGGACTAGGGAATGGGGTACATAGAAAACGGCCATTCTTTAGTCTCAAAAAGGTAAACTCACCGAGAAGGGGTCAGGAGCCTCATCTTCTAGTGACCTGTAGGTCGCTAGAAATTGAGGATCACAGGTCTCATAGGCATGCTGGCAGGGCCATTTTCTAGACATCACCTTGTTTTCTTGATCCCACCGTGATCATCATTTTCTAGTGGGGGTGCCTCATTTTCTAGCAAACATTCTGTGGAAAAAGCATTTTTGGGAGCCTATACAAAGATACACACCCGATTTACTTTCTACGTTTTTTTGGTAGGCATTTTTGGAGGCTCACGGGGCACCATGCATTTTGTAGGTACTGTAAAACATGTTGCCGAGGCCCGCATTGAGTAGTATTCTTCTCGAAGATGGACATGACATGTCATTATGCAAGGAAAAAGGTTGAAGATCTATATAATTTTGTAATTATTGTTAGGCTATATTACTGTAGGCTATTTGGCTATATGTGCTCAACGCATACACAGTGCTTTAAAGTACATTCTTTGCAACATGCTGACCAAGCATGACCAAGCATGATCCTCCAAGCCACACTGGGTTCGTTCACATGGTGGAGGAGGTTGAAACCTTTGCTCAGCATGCGCAGGATGAAGCGTAGGAAGAGAGAGGAAAAGCAAAAGCTCCATGATATGATCATCCTGGAACCTCAAACAACCAGAAACAATTGGATGTTAATATACGGCAATCAAGGTCCTTTACACAGCAAGTGGTTTTTTGTGGAAACATCAATCAATTTCTGGTTGTTTGGGGTTCCAGGATGTATGATCCGTGAAGCGGGAGTACAGAGCAATGCTATGTCTTGACCGCATTTGACCTCATGGAGCGGTAGCGAAATCAGCTGAAATCAAGATGAAATGATATGCAACACATGACTCTTAAACGCCAAACATATAAACACTTTTAGACAAGAGGCCTCATTTTGTAGACTTGGAAGGTCATATCACTTCTTTTTTATACAAAATGAAGCCTTGATTCCTAAGATGTACGGGAGGGCCCTTCATTCTGTAGAGACTGAACGCGCGCATGCTTTCCGCAAAGTAGCCTTGAGGCCCTAGGCCCTTCATTTAGTAGGTTTTGTGTCGTGATTTTCTCACGTGCGATTTTGTAGCTTTTTCTTCGGGGCTTCCTTTTGTGCAACAAGCTGTTTCTACTACAACATGACTGTCCCAATCCCACGCCCTATATTTTAACGGGGATTCAACAGTATGATTCAGATTGCTGGTCTGCTGGTCGTATGACACAAGAGCAGATCGCGCAGATCAATGTGTTGCCGGACGTCAAGATCACCGGTGAAGGCCCCTAGAGAGTGCCATTTTCCTTCCAAGATCCAGACGATCCTGCCATGATCACATGCCGATGGCACGACTTCCACCGCACTGCCCACACACCGGACTTCCTTAAAGGCAATCTACTTGATCGAGGAGAACTACAAGGAGTGCAAGCAACTAGCTGGGTCTACAACCACTTGTGCCCTCGCTTGGGAGGACCCTCCAATGCTCTTCTTCGTGCAGGCTGAGAACATTCTCGGCCTCATTCCAGAACAGCGCACAGAATACTAGGCCTACTTGAGCCCAGCACTGCTGCCCAATCTGCTGACGGGCCTTTGCTCGTGATCCGAAGCAGTGAGATGTCAGGAGACGCCCTGATCATCCTGGAAGAGGTCTCCTGCGCAACCGCCGCAATCATTGCTTGCCGGCTTCTTGACGTTGCCCCACATCGAGTCCAGCTTGACATTGTGACCTTACACCAGCAGAAGACAACGTGTGAGGTTTGTGAATTCTTTTTTGAGCTCTTTACCTCATGTGATCTCCATCAACGGCAACTATGGTTCACTGGCCCTCTCTTTCTGAGCACCAGCAGCGGCCCATCAGCCGCACGACTTCACCCGAGGACTGGAATCGCCACAGCAATGACGAGATGATCAACTCTTCTTTCTGTTCCTTTGTGTGGTGCTCCTTTTTGTCGGTGTGAAGCTCAAAATGGTGCTTGCGGGCACTTGCCCTGTCCTTGTTTTGCTGCTCCCACTACTATTGGGTCGACGCCAAGTGTTGGGCGAACGGTTGATGGTGCTTGTGGCCCTTGCTGCTAGGCTCTACCCCCAAGTTCCGAAACCATCGTGGAGTGTGGTTTATCGACAATGAGGTCGCAGTGACCGTAGAGCTTACCTCAGAGTGTACAACGAGTGTGTATCACCATCCTACAGAGCGGGTCTTGTTCTTGAAGGAGCGTGGTTTGTGGATTTTTGTGGATTTAAGTGCTTGACAGGGCCAGGACGGATCGTTTTTAGGGTTTGATATACCGATTCACTCCCGGAAGCAACGTCAGGGTCATTGAACAGATTCACGAACTTGCAGGGCACTTCATCATCGAGGTATATATTTGCACAGTACAAAGCCGACGAGGGACGCCGCAAATGGAAACTTGTCAGCGCAAACATTTGCTCCCTCAACACGTCATAGCACTGCAGAGTGCAGGGTGCACAGGCTAATTTGTCTCCAGGAGACACATAGGAAAAAGAACGGGGCCCGCTCGGCCACCAAGACCGTCGAACACCATGAATGAGCATTTCGTGTTTGATGGCAATCTTTAGCCTGGCCTCCTTTCATGTCATGGTGTTCAGCGCAACCCCTTTTTGGCACCTCGTGAACACGACGCGCTGCCAACCACCTGCAGGCAAACAAGTTCACCCGCAAGAGAAGTTTAGTCACCAAAAGTGGGCCAGAGAGAGAGAGAGAGAGAGTGTGTGTGAGTGCCTATAATTGAAAAGATCACGAAGTTCCCCCAATAGGCCATAGAACTGGTGGTACGTTCTGCTGCCCACCCAAGCGCTCTGTCCATGCTTCGGCGTCCGGACGCCTGTGCACAATTTGCTTGAATGGGTGCGGACGAGCGAAGCAAGCTGAGGCTTTGTTCCACCTTTTGGATAATGGAGATGGTGAGGCTGGATGCGCCCGCCAACGTCCTGCACCTGGCGTCGTTCAGATGGAGTGGACACAGTATCGCGAAGAAAAGCATAGGATCAATCTTACCCTAGCCCACCACGTGTTTCTCTACGGTCCGCATGCTGTCGCTGAGCTTCTCTTGCTGTCCCTCCTTAAGAGACAAGTAACAAAGTCATGTCAAGTCTGATTCTTCAAATCCTATAAACTATCAACATCTATAAACACCATGCTTATGACACCTTACTTGTAACAACGCGAAGTATACCAGAAACCTGATGGTTTCCACGATTTCACGTGGGTTCGAGGAATTCTACACAAACAACGGGCTGCTTCTTCCACATTTTTTGGCAATGCCACGCTCAAACATGTACTTGGCATTACTTGGTAGTGTTTTGTTGGTCCATGTCCTGTGCCTTCCTAGCATTGTGTTTTCAGCTAAACCTCTCAAACCAAGGCTATTTATTTTTGTTTTTGAGCATTGTATCATTACGTGTTGATATGGCCAATCCTGGCCAAATTCCTGCGGGCCCTGTCTCCGAAGAACATTACTGAATACAGTATTTTCTGTCGCTTAAATCGTCTTCCGAACAGGTCCCTGCTTTTCCTTCGCATCGCTCACCACTGACCGGACTGCCTATCATAGCGCCCCTGCTTCACTCTGCACAGGGGGAGGAAAACCCACTGCGGGCACGGAATGTTGTCGGTGCATACATGGACATATATACGTTGCTTTTCATCCAACTTTTTGCTGCAACCTGAAGGTCACACTGGAAGAGTTCATCGATGGACTAATGCGCTGCAAGGGCCCGGCACGTGCCATCGATGCCGTGGCGCTGCACGCGGATCTCCGGCAGCTGGATGCTCCTTGGCGTGACGGGCTTGGGGCCATTTGTGAACCAACATTTTGGAGATTTGAGCACCCTGATTTGAGGTGGCCAAATCCCAGTTGTTTTCCTACCTTTTGTTTGATTATCATCCGTGGTAAGCATTGGTGAGTTCTAACAGCGACCACTCAAAAAAAATAGCGGGCTGGAAGTCATGGACGTATCGGCGTTATATATGTCTTTGATATAATACAAAGACGATGTATAATAATGTTGCACCACATCAGTGACTTGATCCCTCCATTTTTGCAAGACTTTCACATGTGTGGCTAGTGTGTACGATGCACTGATCAGGCCAAAGTTGGCAAACTGATCGGACACCTGAAGCAGCTAGGCTTGGTCAGGACACCGCGAGCCTGATCTCAATGGGCACAGACCAACCAAGAGTCAGCTGAATGTAGGTTACCTCTATAAAGCTACCGGACTGGGATGGAACAGTTTCGCTTTCAGTGTTCCTCTCTGTTGGGTGAAATGCGTGATGGCACTATAGCAATGGTCCCGGCACCGGGACTCTAATATGTTTGTTTCGACGCAGCCTTTATTAAATCCAAATTCTGTCTATTCGCATTTGGGTGGCGTATGATTACATCCGTGTTTTGTGATTTTGACCCTAACATGAGAACAGTTCCATTTAGGTCCTAGGCCAGGCTAAGCCACACAGGTAATGTAAAGCAATCGACCCACTGTCGAAACAGGTTGTTCATCTAAAGTGTTTTAAGCTCTCGCCGGATGTTGTCGTCACTCAGGCTCGTTGCCGTGCAAACGTTTGGTTGGTATTGGGGCCGTTTCTTGTTTTGCAAGTGGGAGAAAGGCCGAGAGGATAAAAGGTGATCTAACAACTTGCCAGACTCCAAACTGGTGGTTCATCGCTCCTCCAAGTGTGGGGTTCCCCACTTAAGGTGCTGGAGTCTCGTCTCGGCTTTTGCCGCTTGTCCAATCCAGCAGGAGCAAGTCCCGAACCAGCGCAGTGGATGGGCGCAGGTGCGGGTTTTTGTGGGATGATGGTGGTGAAGAAGGTGGTGTTGGTGGCGGTGGTGGTGTTGATGGTTACGGTGCTGATGGAGGTTCAGAAGTGAAGGTCTGGTCAAGGACTTCTATAGAGGTGGGGAGAGATGCCATGAGTACACATACGGGAGCATTTGCTGCGCTTGCCACGAAATCTACACTTCAAGGTGGTCTACAAAGTGCAGCGCTTGCCACAAAATCTGCACTTCAAGGTCCACAATGTTTTTTAGCGCCTGCCACGAAATCTGCGCCTTTAAAGTACTTTGCCTGCCACAAAACCTGCGCTCAAGGTCCACAAAGTCCTGAGCCTGCTACGAAATGCGCGCTTCAAGTCCACAAAGTATATTATACACTTGCCATGAAACCTGCAGTTCAAGATTCATTTGCCTGCCGCGAAATCTGCACTTCAAGGTCCACAAACACCTGCGCTTGCTGTGAAATTTTCTGGTGCACAACGCATTGCGTTTGCCTTGAAGTCTGCACCTCGCATCAAAGTCGCCTGCCACGAAACCTGGACTTCAAGGTCCACGAAGCATTGTGCCTGCAACGAAATTTGCACCTCAAGATTCACATCGCGCGGCCCTCCCAAGGCGATTCGCACCCAAAACCAAAACGCAGCTTTCGCTCGAGACTTCCAAAGTCATGATTCATTGCACCTGCCACGAAATCAAACACCATCATGTCCAAAGCATTGCCCCTGCCACGACATCTGCACATCGACATTTAAGCCACTCCCTCGCGCCTGCCACGCAAAGTGATCACCAAGTCTTAATGTGCATGGCGCCGCAACGAGAGCGCAGTCCCGAAGAGCACCCGCCCGCGCCCACCAGATTCTGCGAGCCTGCGCAGTCGAAATGCACTTCGAGGATCTCGAGGTGAATGATCGAATGCGTTGTAAATTTATGCGACTTAGCTGCCAGCGGATGCGAGCGCCTCCGATCAAACACCCGTAGACCCTATACCACATAGAACCCCTAGTGGACGCACTGCTTGAGGAAAAAATAACTAGACGACGAGTGGCCCGAAAGCATTTTTCATCACGTAGGAAGTCAGAGTGCGAGTTATCCGGTAAGTGTGCAGTGAGAAGTGTGAAGTCGAGTGAGTTGAGGTAGTGTGTGGGTTTCTGTGCGTGTGTCTATGTCCGTGTGGAAATGAGTCTGCGTATGTGTGTGTTCGTGTAAGTTGAGGGAGTGTGTGGGTGTCTGTGTGTGATGCGGCCTCCCAAACCCCCCACCGGCGGCCAAGCGGTGACAGCCCAGCTCATCGTCGTGAGCATTTGGGCTGCTGGTAAGGGGAGAAGCAACGTGCACAGCGCCAGGAAAAGCTCATGGAAAAAAACGAACCGGAACGAGGACAGAAAAGTGCCGAGGCAGGTGCGCCAGAAGTGTCTCGAAGCAGTGACCTGTCAGAGGAGATGCACTCAGTAGCGCGCAGGCCTCCCAAACCCCCACCGGCGGCCAAGCGGTGAC